TCGAACATAGGCCATTCGGTCGTTGACTGGTTCCCATGCTAGTAGTGCACGTCGATTCGCAATGACGATACTGGGCATAGCCGGCTTTACGCTTTTATGTTGACGAGACTGTGGGAGACGAGGGTGCTAATTCGGAGCGGCATAATGATGTGCTGTAGCCAGCGGCATTCTTCGGCAGGTTTTCATGAATGCGCATGTGGCCTAATAGACCCATGCGATGGGTGAGTGTGCCTGGACAATGCGGGCAGTGAAGACAAGTGCCGCGATTTTATGCCGAGGCCCAAGGCGCTGATGCCCCAATGTGTGTGATGGATATGCAAGTGACCGACTGGGCCGATGCATGAGGCGAATGTTCGATTACAGTGAGGGCAGATTGGGCTCGAGCCACCAGTGCTGGTAGAGGGGTCAGGTGTCGTGATGAGAGTGGCGGCAAGCAGTGGTGTGTCGGAGTAGGTGAAGGGAATTAGGGGTGTGGTGTTTGTGGTGGTTGGTGTTAACGCCAGTGAGCGAGTCGCAGTATGGAGGATGGTATCGGCGGATGGGGGCAGCGGGACGTCGGATGGTTAAGTTTCCGTGGTGAGGGTGGTCGTCGATGAGCTGCTTGACATGGGAGGGACTTTTGAAGTGATTGACGCCACCGGATAAATGATGCACTGACTTTCGAGCGTCCTTTTCGCCTTGGTGGCGGCAATCCGACTGTGCCTTCACGCACTTCCCCATCGCATGGGTCTATATGGCCACATGCGCATTCATAAAAACCTGTGGTAAAATGCCGCTGAATATACCACATCATTATACTGCTCTTCATTAGAATCCTCATTACCCATAGTCTCAGCAAAATAAAACCAAATCGCAACAGTGTGCTGTCTGTACACTTACTGAAAGCCACCTGCAAATGTCGCAGATCAACCACAAACATTCTCACTGACTTAAGCCGATCCACAGATGCACTGATCATCGCTTCGCTATCTCCAAGATAAGTATCCGCCTTCCAGCACGCAGGTGACCTCAAGCACTCCCAACTGACGCACTTACCCGACACACCATCTGCTGTGTGCATATTATGTGCGAAGCGGCTGATGAGTGGACTAGGAGTCAGACGGCGGCGGCTCCTTCTAATCCCCTGGTTGTATAAATCCTGATGTTTGTGCCAAGTGGGCCA